CTTATCTTAAATTATGATAAAAGTTGTGTATTGACCGAACACAACCAAGCTTAAACCTTTTGTCTTTGCAGGGTACCTATGGGGATGCAAAACCACTTTCATCCACGAAACCTTTCAACTGCAGGCACTATTTCTACACTACAGACAAAAGCATCTAGTCTTAAGTTTCTTTCTGATTTTTTTTTAAGTTCTTAGGGGTTTTTTTTAAATGTCATCTATTTAGTCATGCATTCTCTTCAAAGGGTCCTCCACATGTAAGATGCCACAACTGCAAGCAGCTTCTGCTTTTCTATTATCTCTATACTTGTTACTGATGAGGCTGCACCCCAAATACTGGGTTCAGTTTGCGGCTCCTCACTCCAAGAAGGACATTGAGGGTCTGGCCCATGTCCAGAGAAGCTGGGGAAGGGTCTAGAGAGCAAATCTTATTAAGGAGCAGCTGAGGGACCCAGGGTTGTTGAGCCTGGAGCAAAGGAGGCTCAGGGGAGACCTTTTAGCTCTCAACAATTCCCTGAGAGGAGGTTGGGGCCAGCTGGGGATTGGTCTCTTCTTCCATGTAATGAGTGATAGCACAAGAGGAAAAGGCCTCAAGCTGTGCCAGAGGAGGCTTAGGTTGGATATTAGGAAAAGCATCTTCCCTGAAAGGACTGTTAAGGCCTAGCCTAGGCTCCTCAGGGCAGTGGTGGAGTCCTCATCCCTGGAGGGGTTTCAAAACCATGGAGATTTGGTGCTGAGGGACATTGGTCAGTGGGGACCTCCCAGTTGAACCAATGATCTTAAAAGGCCTTTTCTAACCTAAATGATTGTATGATTCTCTTCTGCCCTGGAACTTCAAAAGTTCATTTTGTCAGTGGGACAACAAACTGAGGCTGAAAATACTTTTACTCTGATGTTTAAATCTTCCCAGAAACACGTGTAGTCCCCTGTTGATTGCACATGTCTTTGAAATGCACAGAACCACTCCCGCGTCTCAATACTTCCTCCAATTTCATTACACTTTCTTAGCATCTATTTAAAAAAAAATATTAATATATTCACGGCTGCAGCACCAGGCACATTTATTAAAATACTGAATTCAAATTGGCCTTTTAATGCTGTTTCACTTGCTCTCCAACTCATACACAGCTTCCTCTCAAGTTAAAGGTTATCCCCTGCTGCTTCCTAGTACCAAAGATCATCATCATCATCTTCGTCACCATTGCTCATCTTTCCGCTGTTCCAAGGAGGGACATCAAAAGCATTTCAGGAAGAATGATGCAGCTTATTAGGGAGGAGGGACATGTAAATGTTCCCTTAGACACTGATGTTTGATTTTGAGCAGCTCAGTGATAAAAGGCTCTGAGGAGTGGATATACTGCTGCAGTAGGATGAAGGAAATATCCCATAGGCAGGTATGAAACATCTGCAGGGCAGGACAAGGAACAGGCATCGCTGCTTGGAGTTCATGAAAAAGGGGAGGAGGGTAAACGTTCTCAGCACGTCTCCTCACACTTGTTGTCAAAAAAACAACTAAGTAGGAAAAAAATTAGTACCTTGGCTATTAATTTTACTTCATCTTGTGTATTATACAGAATCACACAGCCACAGCATGGTGGGGGTTGGAAGGGACCTTTGGAGATCATCTCATCCAGCCCCCTGCTCCAGCAGCTCACCCACAGCAGGGTGCCCAGGATCACATCCACGTGGGTTTGGAACCTCTCCAGAGCAGGAGACTCCACAGCCTCTCTGGGCAGCCTGCTCCAGGCTCGGCCACCCTCACACCAAAGAAGTTTCTCCTCCTGCTCAGGTGGAACCTCCTGGGTTCCAGCTGGTGCCTGTTGCCCCTTGTGCTGTCTCGGCACCACTAACAAGAGTCTGACCCCCATCCTTGAGATGCTGAGAAGCACTGGGCAGATCCGCTCTTCTTTTCTTCTCCTGGGTAAACAGCCCCAGGGCTCTCCTCCTTTTCTCATGAGAAAGATGCTCCAGTTCATTTATCTTTGTTATAGCCTCTGCTGGATTCTCTCCAGTAGTTCCTTGAACTGGGGAGCCCAGAACTAGACAATACTCCAGAGGTGGCCTCACTGGGGCAGAGTAGAGGTGGAGAACCTCCCTCAACCTGCTGCCCGCACTCTTCTAAACACACCCATAATATTCCCTATTATCAAGTTGTACCAGGGGAGGGTTAGGTTGGGTCTCAGGAAGAATTTCCCTGAAAGGGCTGTCAAGCCCTGGAGCAGGTTGCACAGGGAACTGGTGGAGTCCCATCCCTGGAGGGATTTCAGACATGTAGATGTGGTGCTGAGGGACACAGCTTAGTGACCTGGCAGTGCTGGGTTAACAGTTGGCCCTGATGATCTTGAAGGTCTCTTCCAACCAAAAGGATTCTATGATTAACGGGATTTATATGATGATGTGCTGGAACAGACAAACTAAATAAAGAGAATCTGAAACAATCCAGCTTAATTTGGGAAATCATCATGAGAGGAGTTTCATCAATGAGTGCATTGATTGCAAAAGTCCTTTTTCTACACTTCTTACATGTTCCTTAGACACCCCAAGCACACACTCAATGTGTCAGTCTGAAAACAATCACCTCCCACAGCAACTCTACAAGCTCTCGTGTTTTTAAGAGAGATCCTGCCATCTCCAAGGAACTGTCAAATACTTCAGGGTAGTTGTTCAAACTGCCGCTGCAAAGCCATCACTAAAGATGCAAACAACAGTCTTGGATAAACCATCGGAATAAATTAGACCAGAACTCAACAACATACTTAATGCACTAGGAGAGTCAAATTCACCTTGTGCCATTTCTTAGAAACCCCTTTTTGTTTGGAGGGAGCATTTACCTTCACCCAAATCTGATGCTGTTACTTAAGGCAAAGTTTTTGTGCAAAAAGGCTGAAGAAAAATCTTGCTCTACTTGATATTCTCATGGCCTTTCAGCCCTAGATATGCCAGGGTTGCTCAGAACACTGCACAGCCTCAGGTGACATTGAAAATCTGATAGAAGCCAGAAGAACTGTGTGTCATCTGCTCTGGGCTTTTCATAACTGTGTATGGAAAACTACAGAGGATGTCTTAGCTGGCATCTGCAAAGCACAACAGACTGTCCAATCCCACAGGCAGCAAAACCTGCATTAAATCACTTTGTCATTCTGTAGCAACGTGGAACTTTCAGGACTTGGATCGTAACTTGGTCACTCTTGTTGGTCACTTATTTCACTAGAACAAGAGTAAAAGCTCCTAAACAACTGTTGAAACCTGAACCATCAAGGGATGGCATATAGGTATGGTTTTGGGTTGGTTTGGGTTTTTTTACTAGAGAAGGGATATGGTATGTGTCATTTAATACATATTTTCTCTTCCAACCTGAGCACCAAGTGCAGCAGAAACCAAACCAATACCTATTCCAGCATCAAGGTATCACCAAGATAATTAAAAGTTTTCTAACTCACCGTTCCAGTATTTGCACATTGAATTTATCAGGACACTTCTCCACCATAACAAACTACATTATTTTGGAACTAATTCTGATGGAAAAGAAAACAGAAGGGGAAAAAAAAAAAAAAGTGTATGAAAGTAAAATCACTGAACAGAATTAGTTCAGTTCTAACTCAAACCAGGACATTAACTGATAAGAAACCTGAGGAGAGATGAAAACCAAGAGCACCATCTAGGGGTTACTGCATGTTCTTACATAGGTGGATACTCAGGACAATAAGGTAATTTTTGTTTTTTTTAGGTTTTGTATTTTTTTGAGTTACTCTGGTTGGAACTGAACTACAGTATCAACAGTAAAATCACAGCTTAAAAAAAAAGACTGACGCAAAAAAAAGCTGTATTAGACTTTGGATGAAATCTACTTACAGTAGTACTTCAGCACCAAAAAGTGGGCAGTTAGGCTGATAGATGTATATACAATTAAATGATATGTCCAAGTCTTAAAATGCTTAGTTATTTATAATGAAATCTATACAAAACAGTTAAAAACGTGGTTTTATATACATTTGGAAAAAAAAAAAGTATTGTCTTCATTAGCAGAATGTATTAAAACTGGTTCTTTTCTCCCATCTGAACCCAAACCTCTCTTGGTGGCTTGTAACTACCACAAAACCCCAATGTATTGCTTCAACAAGCCAAGTCATAAGGCTAATTTCTGAAACCTACCACTGTATACCAATTTAAACTCCAAAAATGGTCACTTTAAAAACAGCATGTAAGAGTAAAATACAGTTGTTTTTTTTTTTTTTTAAAAGCCTTAGCTCACTTCTAAATTCGGAGGTTCAACGTTGAAAGATGCTGAACCACTTATCCCCAGTTTTGAAAAACGGACTTAGAGCAAAATCCACACCCTCCACCCCCGTTTGTATTAGAATTCACACACCTGCCTGTTTCACAGGAACTTTTTATAAACTTGGCCTCACTTTAAATTTTATATTTAAATAAATAATCAAAGATTAATTAGATTAGATGAGCATTTCATGTGCTTATGGCACAAAGAAATGCCTCGTACACCGTTACCCTACTTCTTGTAAAGCATGAAAACAAAAATCCACCAGCAAATCCACTTTGCTACCAGTTAAGTGATTTTGCTCGATTCCAAACATTTACCAACAAGAATTAAAAAAAAAAAAAAAAACAAAAAAAAACCCTATTTTTTTTTTTTTGTCATAAGCCTAAAAACTCCTTAAGTGAGCACAAGTGCAAGAAGGCTAACCAATTCCAAAATTCCTGGGGCTTGTCCAGCACTGTCAGAGACACTTTTTCTCTCACATGCTATTTAAAAAATACAAATATTTATTAAACATTCTCTTTTGTTGGCGTTTTGCTCAACAGCTAACAAAAAGACACAGCAAAATAACAATCCCTCTTCACTGAAAGCTGAAGTTTCAGTATCTGGGCAAGGGCTTCATAGCACGAGCTGTAGAATTCGCCGCAGATTTGCTTTTTGACCAGGAGTACATTCCACTGTCACAGGTTTACTACATCTTGGTAACTACACCTTTTTCTTTTTTTTTTCCTTCTTTTTTTTTTTTGGGAAACAATTCCGAAGCTGCAGTTTTTGCAATACCATCTTGTTAAAACACACTGATGCTTCAAGGGTCCGATGGACAACTCTAATAGGCAAAGTGCTCTAAGACATCACAATGCAAGGGCATCTTGGATACTAGAAATCCCAAGACATTTTAAAGTGCACTCCAGTGTCCCAATTCCTTAGGATTGCTCAGCAGAACTTCGAGAGGGGCTGGGCTCAGTGCCGTCCTCAGTGCTACTGTCCACATCTTGCTCCATGGCCGTCTCCTCATCGTCGAGGCGCTGGCTGGTGAAGTTGTTGAGCTCCAGGAGCCCACTGGGTTCCACTACCACATTGGAGCTGGAGTGATGAGGGATGGAATAGTGAGGGCTAGTCTGAAAGAAAAGAAATGATTTTTAACAGTTTTCACAGGTGGAAGGCATCTGCAAGTGCAGGTATTCATGGAAAAGTGATTTTTGGTTTCCAAGAGCAATTTTCTCTAGCTAAGGCCCCCTACAAGTTACATTATATAAAAACTAAGGCTTCAACACAGCCCAGATTACATTGTGAAAGATAAAACTTGAATAATCTTGCTCTTAAGGCACTTTGGATCTTCACTAAAGGTCTGTGACGGCATAATCAACAGCTAAACCACCAGCGCCCACCACCCATGGTTCCGCAAGCACAAAGTTGAGATAATATTTTCATAGTCATGGAATGGCTTAGGTTGGAAGGGACCCTAGAGATCATCTAATCCAATCTCTCTGCCATGGGCAGAGATGCCTCTCAGCTAGACTAGGTTGCTCAAGGCCTCATCCAACCTGGCCTTGAACACCTCTAGGGAGGGGGCATCCACAACCTCTCTGGGTTAGGTGACTCCCTTCCAGGGTCTTGCCACCCTCGTACTGAAGATCTTCCTCCTAGGCTATGGTCTAGTCTCTATTTTATTCAGCTTCATCTTCTTCTTAACTTTTCAGACAAGACATTCAGGTATAAGGACCAGCGATGTTTTCTGCATACAATATAAGCTCTGGCCCTGCTCAGAACAGCAGCAGCAGAGGCTGAGGAAACACAACAGATCTAAGCTATTTATTTCTCCTTATGCTGTCATATAGGTTCTAGAAATTAAATCTATGACTTCATACAGCTGAAATTCTGAGCAGTATTTTACTTTTGAAATAGCTCATAGCATGCCACAGTGATACACAAAACAGATTCTTAAAATATACAGATTTGAAGTAAAATAGAAGTCTACCTTTGTCTATTTAGGGAAATGAAGACTAAAAATTAGTACAAAAATGATGGTTTCTACAAAAGCAAAGTTAGGTGCAATGAAGATTTTACAAAGTATCATGAAAAATTTGAAAGCTCCATGCACAAATTAGTTCCCAGCTCAGAAGCATTTTCACTGCAGTACAAATATGACACAATAAAACCTTTTAAATCCATGCTATCATTTGTGTGAACATGTATCATGCTAAGTTGTCTTCAAAGATTCATATTATACCACTGCAAGTCCTCGGATGACTTAAATACTTCCCCAATTGACATTCTGACCACATTATTATATCATAAAACATCATATGTAAGACAGCAGAATCAATAAAAATACCAATCATCAGTCAGGCAACGACTCAAAACATTTAGGCTAAAGATCAATAGTCATTTTATCTCAGAACTGGTAGGACAGGTTATAAGTTAAATGAACAAGCCTTCTGAATCCAGACCTTATTTGTGGAACTTTCCCAGTAAAGAGAACTCCAGTTTCATTTTTCTTTTACACTGATTTTATACTCAGAGATAGCATTAATAGATATTATAACAAACTCTAGATCATAGTTCCATAGCAAGTGTCAAAGGTCACATTTAAGCATTTCAACTAAAAGTACTCTGCAATACCAGATAAGCTTGGTTTGTTTTCTTAACAGAAAAAGGAAGACACCGAGGACACAGTGAATGACACAGGGCTAGAGACACTCCAGCTCCGTTTAAGAACTGCATGCTCTGTAGCAGTAATGTATTCCAAGGGTAGAAAAAAACCAAAACTGGGGAAAGAAAACAAAAACATCGTTCAGTTGCTACCATGACACTAGACACGAGTTTCCTCTGCTCAACCTTTGCCTTATTTCCTCCAGTCTTCTCTTACCTGGATAACAATTTCTGATGAACTCTCTTCAGCTTTCTTTTGTGATATATTCTGAATGTGTATAAATTGGTTTGTTGTAGACACTCCTTGTGCATCGGGTTTCCTCTCTGTTAAAGTAGGCCCAACAGCAGGAGGACTTGAACTGGCTTCAGACCGTGTCTGTTGCTGGGGGATGGAAGTTGCTGTCATCCCTACCGAGGTCACCCTGGGCACCTGGGTACAAGGTGACGACTCTGCTTCGCTAGCCAGTTTACTAGTGGACATGGTCTTGTCGGGGGGATCCACTAGCGCGTGTTCTACGTTTGTATCAATCTGAGCTCCCACCATAGACACTCTCACAATATCTGCTACTGCTGTCTTCGCGGAGGCCTGCGTGGGAAATAGGCTGGTACCTGGCAACGCCAGTTTGGGCACAAAACTGTCACCTGCTACCTTTGAAACAGAAGGAGGCTGATGCCCCTCAAAAGTTATCTTTGGAACAGTGGATCCTTGCGTTACATTTGGATGCTGCACCTGAAAATCAAATTTTTGTTGTGCATGTTACAGCTAGATTTTTAATTTTTTTTTTTTAAAAATTGAAAATCTAATCAATATTTCCAAGGACAGTATGGCACAAACAACATACTTGCTATTAGGAAGACAGTTGAAACTCAGTGTTTTAACAAAGGAATTAGCAATGATATGGTAGCAGTTAATTGAAGCCTGGGGAAAAGCAGCTCTTTAGGCTGCTTGATAAGGATTGTAACAGTATAATACCACAGCAGCCTCGTTTTCCTTTGGGATTTACATCCCCATGTGATGTTTGTTAACTCACTTGTTTTCTCATGTATTCCTGAAAGGGCTAAAAAAAAAAAATAATAATAATTGTAGTTTTCTGAAGTTAGTTAAAATAAGTTTTGGGGTGGTTTTTTTTTTGGTTTTTGTTTGTTTGTTTTTTCACATTGCTCAGTCTTCACATTTTTCCCTCCCAAGGAAAATCAAATCATTCCTGTACATGAAAGCCATAAAACTTCAGGAAGATGTAAACTACAAAGGAAGATGTACAATGGAGAGGCTTAGGAGACTGCAGTGTATTCATCTTTATTTCCAGAGAAATAAAAGCTGCTACGGGAATGGGAATTAATAACGTGTTGTATCTAAAACTCAGAAGAAAATAATAAGGGACAAATTCCATGCACCAGTGGTGGCAGAAATTCGTAAAAACTGTCCAACAAAACACGTTTGTGAGCTCTATGGATTTTTTTTTTTCCCCTATAACATGTGCTTCTCTTTCCTAGTGTCAACCTTCTGATGGGTAATTAATACCAGCGGAACGAGGAGTTCTCTCTTGCCAGGACAAAACACTGCTACAGCGACAGGGTTGGTGTTTGGGTTTGGATTTTTTTTTTTTTTCTCCTTGAACAGCGACGTGTATTTTGCATGCTATCAATATTCCGTTACCTGGCTTGCTGGCTGTTTCTCTGAAGAGGCAGGTAGCTGCATTTGACTCTGGGGGGGTTGGGGTTGCACGTAGATTTTTTGTGCCGTTGGTGCCTGTTGCAGTTTGGGCAGCTGCTGCGTGGTTTTTACTGCAAGCACCTGCACTACAGTTTGCTGTGGCTGTGCCACTAAGGTAGGGAGTTGCCTTTCTTTGGCCATCATGTGGTGTGGGGGGTGCTGTGCATCTGGTTTGGTCTGTGCTTGTTCTTGCTGCAGGGGGGTTAGCTTTTGATGCCTTATAGAAAGCTGGGGCATTTGAGGGAGTTTGTGCTGGATCTGATCGGCCTGCAGGTGGATTGTCTGCTTCTGCTTAGTCTGGAAACACTGCAGAGTTTTCACTTGCAGTTGAGTCTGTTCCAGCTGTGGCTGACTCAGTTTTTGCTGTTTTTGTGCCTGTGACTGTGTCAGGGCAGATCTGTAAAAGAGACCAGTCTGAGGATCTAAGGTGTCCATCTCTTCCACTTCTCCTTCCTCAGTTCCAAGTTGTTCACTGTGTTTGGTAAATGCAGTGTGACTGCTTAAGGCCTTAATAAGAAGAAGTTAGAGCAAGTTAGCAAGGAGAAATACAAGTTAAAAGAATACACAGTCTCAAAACTATTTTTCATGTTTCAACTGAACTACTGTAACTTACTTTACCATTACAGACTGCCAATTCATGTATAAAAAGATAGCCTTACGTGGAGATTCCACAATACATAAGCAATCAACAGCCATTTTTATCATGTTAAAATGCAGTACATCTCTATGTGGCAACATCAACTGCGTAACTAATCCTCAATGGAGATGATGCTGCCCTACCATGTGTCAGACTAAGGTTCAAAGCCCCTAAGGTTGCATGGCAGTTGGCTATGAAGCAGCAGGGATTAGCAGATGGTTGAACCAGTAACTCCCCATTAAAGCCAGAGCTTCTCTGCACAATAAACTCTTATTCTGCCTCTTGAGAACCTAGTCATCTTTTCCATCATTTCTTCCCCAGCTCCTCATATACCTACAGCCTACCCTATTTCAGTAGAGATCCTCTCATCTCCTTCCTTCCTTCCTCAAAATTTTATTGCAATTTTTCTTGGGCCTTGCCTAAACATCGTTTAATTTTTTGAGGGATCTGAGGAAGCAAGAGATCTACGCTCCTATACTTTATACACCATGGTATAAACGTATTAATTTAGCAAAATGAAGTAACCTACTCAAACACCTGTGAGATCACACCCTCTGAAGTGGGTTTATAACCTAACATAGCACTGTCCTGGTCCACAGCTGAAGTTACAGCACCAGAGAGCTGAGCAGGTCTTGAACAGAGGCACTGGAGCAGCTTCAGCAAGATCTCACCACCAGTTACACTGACACTGTTTGTTGGAATTGTTTTGGATCCTCAAGGCACTGGTCTAATACAATCATACTTTTTGATTCAGAGAAGTTTGCCTATTCACAAACTAAAGCCTTCAAATGAAAAAGATCCCTGTGTGCTCTGCCTACTGCTCAGGTTCTGCCTCGTCCCTCTTCCCCCTATGCTAACACCAACACAATCCAAAGTACCTGGGCCCTTGCAGCGTAACACACAGAATAAACCCACCTTGTTGCTGGTGAAATGACATACAGACAGCAAGAACTCATCCAGGAAGCACAGTGGCTGTTAGTTCCACTCTCAAGCAACCTCATTAACTGCCTCCCTTTGATCCCACCACCCTCACCATCAAAACCAGGCGATACGAACCCCAAGTTATTAATTTGGCCTTAATTTTCAGTCGCAGCAACATGACCTGCTCGTTCAGAACAAGCCCTGGCCCTGCACAATTCACAGAGCCTACTGCTGTTTAGACTGTTGGGAAAAGAAAAGGTACAACCTGCTGCATGATATGGGTAATGGCGCCTGTGGAGGATGCGGGGATAGATTTCACCACAACAGAAGTCTGCGTTGCTGTCTGCGACTGAGCCACATGCTGCAGCAGAGTCCTCTGGGGCTGAGATGACTGCTGGTGGGGCTGGGACCGATGGCTGACTGGAAGTAAAGAGGTCAGTGGCACTTCTCCAGAACTAACTGAAGTCACTTCAGCTATCTGCTTTGCATTTTAGGCTTCGACTGAAAGCATATACGAGCAAAATAAAGACCTGAGTATGAAAAACATCTTTTACTGTATGCTAGCTTCAACCTTAAAGTGTACATCTACTCTGAGAAGCCTGTTAAAGCAGCATCTCAGGGGTTTTGCTTTTGCCTCCATTTGCTAAGCAATCAGTCTTGGTCAAAACTTCTGCCAACACACCAACTTTGGCCTCCCTCCGCCAACGCACCAACTTTGCAATGAATTTATCCTCTGTTTTCAGCTGGGTTCTTTGTACAGCACCAGCTGTAGAGCACAGGTTAGTCTGTGGTTTACATGATGTTAAAAGCCCTGCAGAATTGACTGCAATTAAGAACAGCAAGCCTTGCTGACCGAATTTCTGCCACTGCTAAATTGCAAGGAACGTTCTCCAGAACATAGGCTAAATTTGAAAAATGAGCCATTAGAAAATACTTCTGTGCTATAAAAGCAAGAAAGGTTGATCAGAAATTACGGATCAAAAAATGGAGACCTTGTCATGGGCCTATGTCACTTTTTAGAACAAATCCAGCATGAGTTATGGAGCTGCAGTGATGGCTCTGTAATTAAATAGTGGATTGACAGGGAAATGATCTTCTGAGGAAAAGATACAAACCACAAACTATTCTATATTGCAGTCACTGATAAGACATGAATCTAAATTACTTTATGCCTGTCCATACTAATACAAAAAAAACTTGCTTTAATTAACTTTTTAGCTACAAAGAATTAATATAACTGAAGGAGAACAAACAGTTTAACAGAACTGAAAGTTAAAAAGTTTCTAGTGACCTTCCCGAAAGTTAAAAGAAAGGTCTTCTTTTGAATGAATATGATTATTTCCCCTTACCACTCCAAAAAAGGAGCTGGATTATATCAATACCGGCCTGCATGCTGTGCCCGGTTCATCGTGGATATCCCCCAACAGTTCCTGCACAATTGAAAACTTCATTTAAAAATAAAATTTCTAACCTATATGGTTGTGTAGATACTCTTCCGAATGTGAACCAATACAGTGTTGTCTTCCTGAGTCTGCAGACAGACAAAAAATGGTGACACTAAGATGTGTGAACTGCTCCCTTCATCTCACGAGGAAGCGCATGCTGAGCTCCAGCTCCTGTATAAAATGTGCCTGATCCTTTCATCTGGGGGCACACAGGAGATTTCACAACACATCACAGACTGTTTACTACCTTGCTACCAAACTTTTAGCAGAAAATACAGCTACGTGCATTACCAGTGGATATGGAGAAGCACAAATTAAACCAAAAAGAAACACTCCAAATTACCTGCGTGCCTTGACAGTGTTCAGAGAAACTGGGGGAAAGGACAGAAATCTAAGAGCAAAATAAACCATTTTGTGCTGTAGCACAAACTGTTGCTAGTCAATGCACAGCAGCCTGCACTTCTCTGGTAGATCCCTGTATATCAACTCAGGGGTTACAAAAATCCCAGTATTTTGAAGAATAATCATAGCTATGGGGAACATGCAACTTTTGCACTTCATATTGCTTCTAAGATGCTCAAGAGGACTTATATCTGCAAAAGACACCGACTGTAATTTCCCATCCTCCCTGTAACGGGCCCTACTTCACATCAACTTTTACAGCAAGACCCAGCAAAAACTGGAACCTTGAACAGAAGCTCAGTGCACAGTATCTGTGGCAGTGAAGATAACAGACTATTAACTGGAGATCACTTTAACACTATTTATTGTAGTTTTGAGTTTGTTTTAAGAGAGATCCAAGGGAGCACGACTAAAACATTCAAAATTGAAGCCAGATACAGTAAGTGCTATTTAAAAGAATAACAATAACATGTCCCCCCAGCTCCAATTTCACACATTTTAGATTTAGACCATACAAGGGATGGAAGCAAAGGGAAGAGGTACAGAACAGGCACATGAAAAATGAAAAAATCAGATTAGACATTTCATACTAAAACCACTAGAGGTATGGATATATACTTATACAGTTTAATATAATCAAGTTTTATTCCTCTTTTCCAGGGAGGATTTTCAATACAATTCTGCTTTTCTTTTCCAAATAAAGTAGGGAGATCAATAATGTGGACTTAAGAAATTAAAATGGAAAATTTGATCCTCTCACGTGTTTATGGAAAGCGGCTCACACTTGGTGCTCTGTGGTAGCAGGGAGCAGAGTCAAGGGAGTCAAGCATTTGCACAAAACAGACAACCAGATAGGAGGAGTCAATAATTTAAAAAGCTGAATCCCAACCATCATTTCAATTTGAATAATTAGTTTAAGAAGTGTAAATTTATCAGTTTAAAGCCTTCTAGCAAATGGAGAAACTGGGGACCATATGAACAGGCTAAATGTACACCTGGCTTAAAAACCCACTTAGTGCTGGTAAGCAAGTAATGTGCAAATATGGGTTAAATTAGCTGAAAGTCTGACTCCTCTTGATATGTACAAAGCATACAGTTCCTATAACTTCATTTTCCACTTTTTCCTTACTAGACATTTTCCTTAAAGGTAAGTGGGACACAGCCTGTCCTCTCCATCAGATCAGAGAACAGATAATCTGTCCAACTAGGATGTCTTGAAGCAACATCCTAGTTGCTTCAATTTAGACACATTCTCCACGACACCCCAGAAAAGCAGATGCAACCTCAGTGTCCTGCGCAGGGTCTCAAGAGTGAAAGAGAAGACTCATCTCTTCTACAACAACATATCGTGAAAACACAGATGAAACCGGTTGTAAGAAAACTCCAAAATAAAGTCCCCAGACTTCAACTGCAAGCCCATCATTGCACTGCTTTAGTCACTTACCAGTTGTGATATATTCAGCAACTAATTCCGACTCTACTACAGCAATTGAGGGACTTTCTGGAGAATGCCTCTTTTCTTGGGTCATCTGGATTGGCACAGCCATTTGGCTCAGGTCAATGGTAGGCTGCCTTGGCTTTGATTCTAACTTTTCCTTCACTGCTTTAGAAGAAGAGAAAAACAGAAAATAAACCGCCAATATATAAGCCTCCATAATAAAATAAACCTCCGATATAAATGCAAAAGTTTAATTAGTGAATATTTTATGCTAGATTCAAACTAACTGCTACAGGATAGTAAGAAAGGAATTAAGATGATTCAAGGTTAAGTGCTTTGCCATTAGAAAACATATTACAAACTGCTGTTCAAGCAAGTAATAAGCTTTGAACTTATCCTGAACAGGTTTTCACACCTGTTGTCTGCTGAAGTTCAAGCAAAGCTTTTATCGTGGAAGTAGCTGACTGAGATTCACTGGATACATCCTGGTAAATTATTGTAGGGCTTGTGTCCACAGCAATTTCATGTTCTGACCAGTCTTGACTTCTCGAAGCAATCACATGGACTACAGGCTGAGAATCTGCTTGCAAAAGAACAAAAGCACAACCAGTCATTACAGAAACATTTTGGGTTGCAGGGCTACAGTTCAGTATCAGAGCAGCTTACTCATTAACCACTAGCACTTTGAACACTACACACTCCCATTCTGCAACACGAGTTTTTATTACAATTGACTCTTGAAGTAAACCACTGCTAATGTTATGAACAGTTTCCAGAAAAAAACAATAATCTTGTATGTTAGTTGTTTGTAAAAGCTTTGAACAATCCAAGCTCAGCAGGTTTATTTGTATGTTGAATTTGCCTTGGACTGAACTCTTTTTCAGAAGGTTTTAGCAGTATTCAGCATTCTGAGTAACAGCTCCTACATTTTGATAAATTCATTGAATCTTCCAAACATCCTAAACTTACTTAAAATTACAGTATAGACCAACAGTTACAGAATTCTACAGCAAAGGTCATAGAATTGTTTTGGTTGGAAGAGACCTTTAAGATCACTGAGTCCAACTGTTCCCCCAGCACTGCCAGGTCCCCACTGACCCACGTCCCTCAGCACCACATCTCCACGGCTTGGAAACCCCTCCAGAGATGGGGACTCCACCACTGCCCTGGGCAGGCTGGCACAGCCCTGGACAAACACTTCAGGGAAGAAATTGTCCCTCATGTCCAACCTTAACCTCCCCTGGTGCAAAGTCAGGCCATTTCCGCTTGTCCTGTTGCTTGCTACATCATCAACCCCCATCTGGCTCCAAACTCCTTTCACATATGTGTAAAGAGTCAGAAAGTTTCCCGAGCCTCCTTTTCCCCAGGCTAAACACACCCAGGTCCCTCAGCTGCTCCTCACCAGACTTGTGCTCTAGAGCCTTCCCCAGCTTTGTTGTCCTTCTCTGGACACACTCCAGTCCCTTAAGGTCCTTCTTGGAGGGAGGGGCCCAAAACTGAACCCAGGATTCAAGGTGTGGCCTCCCCAGTGCCAAACCCAGCAGGATGACCCCTGTCCTAGTCCTGCTGTTATTTATGTTCCATTATTTATCCTCCTCTACCACAAAAAGAGCTGCACCCATATCATAGACTGAAGCTATGGCAGCTTCCCCACCAGGCCTGCATGCCTGTCGTATGTCCTGATTCACATAGATGTGTCTATAAAAGCACCAATGTGCTTTTAATTAATGTTGATCCCATGACAGCTTTCAGTCATGCAGTGAAGAGATGCTTCAACACACCAAGGAAAGAGGGGGCAGAGCACAGGCAGTCATTAAAAAAACCAACCTGACTACACTGCCTACCTCTTGCACACTCCTCAAAAAGAGGGAACAGGCTGCAGGCTACAAGACACCATTACCTCCATTCTTCACATATGAAATGGAAGCAGACAGTAAATAGCTCATAAAAGATAAAGCCACATGGGAAGTGAACTGTGACACTGCTAACAGACTGGGTGAATACCTGTCCTACAAAGGTATGAGGTCAATTATATGAAACCAGCCAGCCTGCCCTGGAGAGGGTCCATTTGTATTTGATGTGACAGCAATACACACCTTGGGAGCTCTGGGAGGACTCTGTAGAAGAAGAGCTGCTTTCAGTGTAGGTTTGTGGTTCTTCTTTCACTTCTGGGAGAGATGAGTTTCCTGTCTCTGTTACCCTTGATGCCTGCTGTAACGTTTCAGTCACCAGCTGCCTGGTTTGTTCACTTACAACTGTTGCTTGAAATGTCACTGGCTTTGGTTTTATGAGAACCTAATTAGAAACATAAATTTTATGTACAGTAAGGGCACTCAAGAAAACAGATCTGAGCAATCGGAGTATGGTGTGCCACTCAAATAGATCTATGTACAAGACCTAAATAATATTCATCATTTACTGAAAGTCTACCTGTAAATTCAGGAGCTCTGAATATTAAACCACAAAGCCCAGGTAAATGACAATGCACAAGAATGTACTTCTCAGTGATCTGGAGTACTTAACACAATAAACCACTAAACAGTCATTTTTTCAGGGCTGGATACAACAATGATGTGACAAGAGGAAGCTATGCAAGTGAGCTGGAACATGCACTGGACTGATAAGGACAAGCACCTCTCTTCTTCAGCCCACAATAAATACAGTCTTGAACAATCAAGACACACAAAATATTGTATCTGATAAAATTTAGTTCTTTTTAACAACTAAGTGCAACCAGAGAAAACACTGAAACTGAAAGCGTCCAGAAATAAGCCAGGTTCTCTGTATACAGCCCCACCAACTACATAAAGTTGCAGGGACAACCAGAATGTACATTAATCAGAAAGTAACTTCAATAAAATCTCAGATTTTATGGATGACCTATGTCCAGACTCTGTTTTTCTCTCTCACCATCTAGCCATTAGCTGTAAGACTTGGGCATCTGGAGCCATGACCAGACAGTTTCAGCTATGGAAAAGGTCAGTAAATCCTTTTGGCTTGCTCTAGGCCTCCAGAAACAGCTAACAAATCCAAACACTGTGCTCGAGAAATGCGAATCAAGGCCACCTCATTACACCCCTAAGCCATTCCTCATAGACACAGATGAATCCTGCAACAAATGTGGCAACACAGTGAAAAATTATTTACTTCCCATTAAAGTTTAGGGGTACATTTCAAGGTAGAAATGGGTCCTCACTGTACCTGCGTTTTCCCTTGCTGACCATAAACAATTTTAGTTGGGATGATTTTGGTGGCTGGCTGGACCGTGGACCCTATTCCTTTTGGCTGTGTAACAATCATTTTTGTGATGGGTCTTGTGGCAGTGATGATAGCAGGTTTTGCTCCTGCTGGCACTGCCTGAATAGTTTTCTCCCCCTGTAGAGAAGTCAAAGTTTACAGGTTAACTTAGTGAAATTCTTCAGAGAGACCCACTTCTCTAAAAAATTACACAGTTATAGATAAGTGTGTGCACCAATAAACCAACCTGCTGCTGCAACTAGACTTACTTGACACAAAGAACATTCAAAGATCAAGAACAAAAACCCTATGGCTTTGAATGGAAAGGCTACCAAAGTCCTCTTTTCTGTGTCTCTGCCTTCTGAGCAGCTCTGAAGGGGTGAACAAAAAGGAGTAACAAAAAAAAGACACTGACAAGTTTTTTTGAGGTTGCTTCAGAGGATTAACCTAAGTTGGAAATTTCCTCAAATAATTTGCAAATGTTTTAAAAAAACCTCTTATTTCTGTTAACAGTAACTTTGGCAAGACAAATACAAAACTTGAATATTTTATATTATATTTATAATAAAAAAACTTGAACTGAGGTTCTAAAACAATTAAAGATATTTTTTTATAAAATTATGAATTATCTAAAACATTATCTTTAAGGTATTATAACTTTATACTAGATTATATTAAGATCTTTGTATTAGCCTCCTAACCAATACATTAATTATGTATTGACTGTTGGCTTTTTAAACTAAAAGTTCACTAAAAAAAAAAAAAAAAGCAAATTCACAGCTGTTTGACAGGAAACCTTTGACTTTGGAATAGTGCTGACATATGACTAGACTCCTGACAGCCTAAGACTAGCAAAGACATTGAGCATGATGGTTTTCACCTCTGCACAGTAACAAACTAGATGAGGAACAACATTTAGTTGTCGCCAGTTCTCCCAGTATTCCACCAATTCCCAAATAGCTAGAAATCCCAAGAACCATACTGGTTTCAGAAATCATAACATTCTGTTGGTTCCCTCTATGTAACATAAGATTTCTGCTTGTGTGAAAACACAGCTTTAAGTGAATTGGGAAAGTTCAAAGGCTTCAGACAAAAAATTTCTAAAAGATTTTAAAATATCCTCTCTACTCAGCTCTGCTACTCAAGTAGACTTTTAAAGATTACATGATTAAAGCATTAAATCTCACAGTTCCATCTAGGGACATAAAGCACATCTGACATTTTTATTTACTAGCACTTGCCAGTAGACCCAGTTGAAGCTGGAAACTTGGTTTTGTTCTTAGTACAACATCAGAGGACTGAAAAAATGATTCAGCACTACACAAAACTGAGGTACCAAATGTTACACTCCACACAAGTTGAAAGGTGGCACCCTTACTGTGAAGGGACAGTTTATTTCTGCCCTTTACATCCAAAAAATAAACAGCTGGAGATGCAAGTTTGTAACACAGGATTGTGGTTCTCACTAGAGCACAAACAGGGCGAAATTTTAATAATTTTCATCTACTTAATCCCTTCATGATTACAAAATCGGCTACCATGGAAAAAAGCAAGCTCAAAAGTTTTTATTTTCCTTTAGAACATTCCCAGCTTGTTTTAAGCATCCTTCATACCCTGCAAATCATACTTGTTTTTCAAACACCCCTGACATTAAGGCATGCTGGATCTGTTAAGGAGCTCATGCAGTTTGCTTTGTTTAGGGACTTTAACAGAAGGAATGCAGCAGCCACCACACAGCCTGTCACTCCGCTATTGATTTGAGACTCAAAACCCTTCACTTACCCCGGCGTTCAATAGCGTTGTGACAACATTTTTGCCTGGAAGCCCTTGAATTGTAGTTCCTTTTCCAGTAGTCTTTTGCACAACGATCACATTGGGTTTGGATGTCATTGGGATTGTAGTGATTTTGGTTGTGGTTCCTAAAATTTTGTGGGAAAAGAAATGAGGTGCAGTTTATCACACATACACTTCCTTCAACTGTAGAAGTTGGTGAGCTATACAGGAATCATTGTATTTAAATCTGACAGTACAACAGAAAAAAGACAAGGCAGCATCTGGAACAACAATTTATGTCATGCAACCTCAAGGTATGAGGATTAGATGCTCACTCTATAAATCTTTCACTTACAGTAAAACCAGGCATGCCCAGGATAGAATATCTGATTCTGTAATAGGACAGTCAGCCCCTTCTCACAAATTAGAGGAAACTAACACAGCTTGCTCAGGCTAACATGTCTAACTTTTCAAAGGCTAGAATTAAGGGGGGGATAAAGACACCACTAATACTCAATTCAAGGTCCTATTGGCACAGAAATATTCTTGTACAGATAACCTCTGTATGAGAAGCTACATATGAAGGATGTATCTCCAGTCAAGAGAAAAACCAGCTCTTTCTGGCACTGAACTCTTGGAATACAAGTGATGAGTAGTGGATTGAAAGAAGGATAAAAGAAAAAATATGCTGTTGTTTTACAATCAGTTCTTAAAAATTGAGTTTACAAGCATGGGGTTTTCTTCCTTTTTTTTTTTTCAAGAGCAGTGTTGTCTGTTTCTGTTCCTCTCCCAGTATTTAATTAGTTCTATTCCCTGTATCAGTTTATTTACCTGCAGTGACAGGTAATTCTCATCAGCCCTCTACAAGAGTACATACACTGATATGTAAATCATCAGTGTTGTCAGGCTGCCATTTCAATATCTACTGAGACAGCTTTTTATCAACACCTTCCACTCTCTCCTTGAAGGAAGTACCACTCAATCACAGCAGAGCTGCAAACCCAAGGATTCCCCTCACTACCTTCTACCCATTCATCATGCCTGTAGGTGCTTCATTACATATTCCATATTAAAAATACTGCTAATTCTGGGAAAGAGAAGACATGCTGAGACAAGATTATGTTTTACTTAATTCTAGCGACTTCAGAGGCATCTAAAGACTGCTCCTTTAGGGAAAAAAAAAAAAAAAAGGGGGCAAAAAAAACAACCTCCCCAAGCAAATCAACCTGAAAAAAAACCCATGAAACAACAACAAAACAAAGTAAGCATTCTTTCCAAACTTGTGTTGTTTCAGGACAATTATTACCATTCTTATCAGGACCAGCCAAGGGGTTCCGTGCACTAGCTGGTGCTCAGGAGAACACTAACTAGTAGATCTGGAAATCTTAGCCACACATCATAGCTTCAATGGGCTAAAGAAGTTGCTTGTTCTCAAAGAAACTACAGCACCAATCCTAAATATTATTTTGTAGAAATCAGGATCTGAAAAACTGGGTCACCTCCGGCACACTACCCCACAGAGCGGGTTTGCTGGATAGCTTGAGCAGCACCTTCCGGTGCCAGGAGCTGGCTGGTGCCACATCTGGTCTTTCCTAAGCACCAAGACTAGGACCTCTGAACAATTTAAAGATACCACCAGACAGGATGAGCAGACAAAGCAGACCTTGCTATACTTGTGCACCTAGCTAGGAAATGCAGCAGATCTTCTCTGCGTTAGCACTTCTAAAGTCCAAGACAGACACTAAGAAGTTATGAGTGGTGTGAGTGTGCTTGGTCCTGTTCCTAAAGAGAGTCTGTGTTTAGAGGCTGTACTGCCAGAGAGCATCAAGGCTGGTCAACAGACTAATGAAGACAAGCAGCAGAGCCTGCATGAAGCTGGGAGGAAAAACTTACAGTAGAACATGGGGTAAGGCAAAGACAGGCTGACACGGACAGAAGAACAAGATGAGGTGAAGATTGCACAGCCAAGTTTAAAATATAAAATTCATTTTCATTCTTGTTCTTTGGACGTGCAGTGGAATGGAAAGGGGCAGCATCAAGATTATAAAATGCTTTAAATCACAGCCCTCTTACAGAGGACAAAACAGTAGTTCTCCTCCCCCCCATTTCTCTTTTCCTCCCAGGCTTCTCTCACTTTAGGTATCTCCCTCTTAAACACAAGAACTGCCATCCTCAAGAACACTTTACTTCCTTTACTTTCACCCATTATTTTCTTCTTCATCCTCAGCTATTTTCCTTCTGAATTAACTTCCCCAGTAAAGGTCCTAATATTATTTGAGCATGTAATCCAGAGAAAAGCCCTCAACAATTAGAGCAAGTCTAAGGTGACTTTTGAAATAGGCCTGAATATCAATCAAAGTACTCATATGCCTACCAGAAACAATATTACTGCTGATAATCTTCCCTCCCAATGTAGCCAGAGATTTTGGTACTACAGTAATGATGCTACCACTTGTAGTTTTCACATAAGTAGCAGCCCCTGGAGTTCCAGCCACCCGAGCCCCTATAGAGGGGCTAACCGTTGGCCGCGTGTATGTTGCTTGAGTTCCTGTTGTAAAGAGAGAACAAGAAAAGTTCACTGTTAGAACACCATCCACTATTAATATTTCTGGAAAAGTTAGATGAGACAAAAAAGCATTTGATTTTTTTGGAAGAGTCCCCACACTGCAATTTATTACCACCCTTTACAATTCACCTAGTACTTTTTAAACCTGTAGAGTAATATTCAAGTATAAACTTACTTCTATGTCTTTTATGAACTATTCCATGCCTGCCATATATTAATTCACATCCTTTTGCCTAAGACTTGAATTTTCAATAGGAGTTTAGATTCCGCCTCTGTGTTTGCTATCTGCTCCCTTAGATGCCCAAAGTTGGGTATCTGGTGGCACTACCAGTACTGATCCCTTCCTCTTCAAAGTCACCTACACTGTCACTTCTCCAGCATGACAGATTCTTTATAAAGACCACCATCAATAACTGGTCTAAATATCACTCAGAGAAAAATACCGTCTACAGTGATAATGCAATTTTATGGATTTAGCATTTTGCCATGCAAAATAACCTCCTGACATGGTATAAATGTTTTTTCAGACCTGCTCCTGCTCAGAATGTCAATGCAACCAAGTCCACTGAAGAAACTTCCTCAAAATTATAAAATGAATCAACAGCTACACAAAGATAGTAATTCCATTCTGCTTATACTGCTGCAGATAGTGTGCTACGGACCTTCATGGCTAAAGATCTGAGCAAAACAGTTTGTTCTAACAAGAAAACTATGTATTAAGATCCAAGAGAGCATGATACAGGGTTTACCAATTAAATGCACTGCAAAACTGCTAGATTTTATGTACTTAAGAATGATTTGGTTTAGTACTTCAAAAGTTAAAAAAATACTATTAACTTTTAGATTATGGTAAAATTCCCAAACCATGCTAAAAAATTCAGGAGGTTGCAGTTTTCTGAAAACTAAAGTTACCTTTCAAGTTTCCCCTCATGCAAGCTCACAATCTGAACAGCCTGAATTATTTTTTAATTTAACCAATAAGAAGAAACAAATACAATTAGATCCCCAGGGAAATAAAAAACAGTGGGAGTTTAAAATTCAGTTTACTGGTCTTTTTATAAATACACTGCAGGACTGTGAGCAAGTCACCCATCTTTTAAAGTCCATAGATGTAAAGCAAGACTGATGCTGACCTATCTGCTTGAAGTACCTCAAAAGTTAAAATCATGTAAATTGTCTAATATAAGGTGCTACAGAAGTGCAAAGTATAAGTTGCGAGAAAACTTCCTTTAAAATAAACCCAGTGGAGAAGGAGCAATCATGTCTTTGTGTATTAATTCAGGAAGATCAGAAAAAGAATATTAGCACTCGGTGCAAAAAATCCTAATCTAGAATAAATATCAATAGGATTATGAACGTGCTGTTGTGCTCATGAGAGAAGTGCATTTTTTTTTTTACCCTAATAAACCTTGTTTGATCACCTAAATGTCTGGGTGTACCCTCCCTTCCCTTCTCAGAGCCATAACTTACCAGTGGGAGTAGTGACCAGTTTAGTTGTCATGATAGTCCCATTACTGCTAACCACCATAACAGGTGAATTGCTACTGCTGGGCAAGGTCGCTGTAACTGGTTTGGGAAGGATTTTACTGGGCTGCACCTGTTGAGTGATTATTTTAACACCTAGGAAAGGAGAAAGGTCACTGTTAAAATACAGGCACGAAAAGTTACTTTCTGAAATGCTTTCTCAGACCAAGCCCAAGTGGGCAAGTAGCCTCACAAGGCTTCTACTCTGAGCCCACATATTCTTGATTCTGAAAAGATCATTTTTTGTTTGGGTTGGGTGGGCTTTTTTGGTTTTGGTTTTTTTATTATTTTTATTTTGCAAATAAGACAGTCATCTTTGCCTTTCACGTGCCTGTTTCAATTCCTAGCTACTCCCACTGAGGCATAAGATTCCATTCCATCATTGATTTTTCTAGTGATTTTTAACCTTCTCTGGTCCATGACTCAAAAAAAAGATCATTTTCCAGGAACCTACAGGTTACAACCAATATTGAATTGGTTTGTACACAATGAACCACTTGAAAGTGAAACAGTTCTTCATCAATTTAGCTCGTAAATTCTCACGTGTCTTAATTAGCCAGTTAAATTTCATCCCTCTGAATAAATTTTTAACATTTAGTGGTTTTTGAACTAAAAGTATTAATGGTTATAAGGAAGCAACTGTGAGACTGGCTAGGGAAGGCTGCTTAAAAGTAAACTGCTCTCCCTCCTCTTGATCTATTCGTTATCTTGAAACCATAAAGGAACTGGACCTGAAACAAGGTCCGAGTGGAATCAGGAAGAACCAAAAATATAAGGACGCTTTAGTACAGCAAGGATTCTGCTCCCTCTCTCAAGTTGTGTAGTGGAATGGGACTTCTACAAGACTGACTCCTCAGCTGCAAACCAGGAGCTTCAAAAGCATACCCAGGACACTTGTGTCTTGCATTCTGTTCCATGACAAGGTAACTGTATTGCATTATTGCATTGTGTTAGTCAAATGCCATGAAACACCCAGCCCCAGTTAATCCCATATAAATGCAGGCAATTATATTCATACACAAATATTTGCAGATGAACAATTTTGTCTGCTCAGGACAAGGAACATCATCTGGAGATGTTTTCTGCTTTCTACATGGACTATAAAAGCAGTATGGAGCAAGTAAGCTCCAAACTTAAATAAATTAGGAAATAGAAATTGAAGCCTTTGCATCATTCAGACACAAAACTGAATAAAGTCTCTGTGAAAACCAACCTACATCTTCCAGAAAGAATAGGTAACAGATGGTATTTCCAAAGGAATTTTAACTAAAAAGCACACTGAACCGAAACCCATGGTAAAAGGCAAGGAGCGAAGCTCTTCTTGATCAAATACTGTTCATTCACTGGAGGATGGAGGCCTCTTACCTGCCTTCATTAGCAGGTATTTTTCTTAGGCAATTATCCTATAATCCAAAAGGAATTTTATCAGAGGAGAGGAGTAGGGCTGTTTATTTTTTCATTCTATAGTCTATTTTAATTCTCTGATCTAAACAGCATTAATATAAAATTATTATTTTACTGACATGATTAATATAAAATATGGATATGAAAATACTTTGCACTTTTATAGCACTTCTTCCTTTAGAATTAGGTAACTTTGCAAGCATTACTTCTCACTACAGCTTACGGAGATCTGCACTGTACAGCAGAGAACAGCCAAGATAGAAAGATTACATGACTTGCTCAAAGCCAACTGAATGAGTCAGTGTTACAAAAAGATTCCAGTCCAACTTCCAGTCTCAGATCTAATTGTGTTTGCTTTGACAAGTACCTCAAAAGTAGGTTTTGATTTCTGGACCCAAGAAAAGAATTAAAACATGGATTAACTTCTTTTTCCAGTTGATACAGTTGAACAGCTCTTGGATCTTCAGAGAATCGGTGTCTTCCAGGTTGCCAATCACATTAGTTTTGAAGATATTTACATACCTTTCAGTCTCTAAAGATAAAATATTTATTCCTAAAGCATGGTCTGTAGTACCTGAACCAAAGAAGAGTGACAGAACCAAACTCTTCAAATAGTGTTAGCTGAAAACATTAAGACATCCTTCATTTACATCCAAGTTTAAAGCCAAATCCTGTATTCAAAGTACTTATGCTGTAATGATAGCTCTTGCATGCACATTTTGGGACAGAACACTGGCCTGTTTTCTTGACTTGTGGTTAGACCTCACCAATATGACCCAAGATTAACTCCAACTACCTGATTCCTGTTTGATCTGAATGGTGGGCTTGATGCCTGGTGGCAACTGAGATTGCTGTGGCTGCTGTTGTGCTGCAGTCGACTGCACAAGCTGCTGTTGCTGCTGTTGTTGTTGTTGTTGCTGCTGTTGCTGCTGCTGCTGCTGTTGTTGTTGTTGGGCCTGCTGTATTTGATGCAGCTGCTGTTTGGGGGACTGCTGATGCTGTTTGGGAAACTGTGCTAAGATCTGAGTTGGATTCCCAACCAAACCTTTTGGAGAAGGTAGTCTGGTAGAGGCAACTTTAATAGCTGACGTAGACACACCTGTAGAAGCAAACAGGTTCAGATTGAACTGTGCAACACAAAAGAAAAATACTGCCACTTCTTAAGCAATTTTTCATTTTTACTACTGAAAAATGCATAGACATGAGGGTAAAAAGCTCCCAGACAGCACAAGTGCTCTGTTCAGAGACAAGACAGCTTTATACAGATTTATGATGACTACAAAAAGGTAGGGGTATGAGGGTGACAAATTGGTGAGCACAATGTTACTTCGGAAGAATTAATCAAGTAGTGGTATCTAATTTAGAAAACTGGACTTCACATTTTTTGTGCCAATAGGTCAGGTGATCTTACAAGTCATACAGTGGTTAAACCAAATTTTCAGTAAGATAGAAAGACAAAGCTCCCAAATCAGAATACTTATTTCTACCATTCTCTTACAAAGATGTCACAACACCTCGAGCAAAATTTGGTTTCATCTGTAATTCTAAACTGCATATCCAGAAGTACCATAAGACAAAAATTGCATCTCTTAGAAAACCAATGTTTAACCAAATCTCTGCTGCAGTGGAAAAACGACAAGATTGTTTCTCTCCTATGTAGTGATAGGTCAAGGGCTAATGGGTTCAAACTAGAAAAGGGTAAATTTAGACTAAAAAATTAAGAAGTTCTTCACTTTGAGGGTGGTGAGACACTGGAATAGGTTGCCCAGGGAAGCTGTGGATGCTCCAATCATTGTATGTGTTCAACACCAGGTTGGACGGGGTTTTGAACAACCTGGTCTAGTGGGAGGTGTCCCTGACCATGGCAGGCGGTTGGAACTAGATGATCTTTAAGGTCCCTTCCAACCCAAACCCTTTTATGGTTTAAAGAAAGCAGTGAATGACAGAAATCAAATAAGCTACAGTTCTGGTAGTCTAAAGCAGCAACCCTTTTCTCACTGCATCATCTAAGATGGTTTTTCCATATCCTTGGTCAGCTGTTTTCATTAATGAATTTAACTCTCTTCAGATTTGGAGTGAATACCAGCTTATGTCACAAAACGTTTCACCAGCATCTTCCAAAATGACATTCATAGTCTTGAAAAAAAAAAAAAAAAAAAAACCAACAAAAAAAAACTGTTGAAGAGATATTTCACCTAATGTATTTTAGAATTATAGCCTCCTTCATAATTACATCAAATAAAATCCAGAGTTCGAATAGGAAATTCTGCATTGTAGATTAGTATCTTTAGGGCCTGACTAATAAAAGCAATATGGAAGGCAAAATAACTTCCCTCAGCTTTCATTTGCTTACCCAACTACTTCTGGAATGGAACAAGATTTGAAAATATGGACCAGGAAAAGTTGCCATGTGACACTTGTTGTCAGGCACAGGACTTTTCAAGTGTTGTTCTCTGAAGCCCTTCCATTCACCCACAGCTTCCCTTCCAAAGGTTAGCTGGTGGCTGTGGAGCTGAATCAGCCAAGCTGACACATACAGATGGAATTACTGAGCAGAAACCCAGGAATTTTAATCCAGGCCCACTCAGGTCTTAACTTTTAAGGGCTTGAAAACTAATGTGTTGATAAAATGGTGTAAAACCTTCTCTACCTTCCAGAATTGTCATCAAGATTGTTACCCCAGGAAATATCCTAAAGACTAGGCACATCACATGCATTTATTTGATGTTGACTTTGCATGTTTTTGTAAATGGGGGTTAAGAGAACAAATTATCTTCAAATATCGGAAACATCTATTTTCCATGCATCAGATCAAGTTCTTAAAGCAGATATTTTAAGGCTATGGTGTTCTAATGCTGCAAATAAAATTTTTTGAAAATAAAAAAAAAAGCTGTGCCACACTGTCTCACCACATTCTCTTTAAAAAGAGGATCTGCACGTTAACTATTGAAGTAAAGAAAGAAAGAACTCAACAAGAGCATTTGTGGAGTATTTTGGATTAGTTTCATCAGTAGACTTCTTTCACACCTCCAGTGCTCTACCCATATGTAAATAAAGTGCATCTCCCCTGTGTCAATCGTAAAGTGCAATTTATCAGTGAAAGAGCTTTTATAAATATGTTATTTGCCATACCTTGTGCTACTGTTGACATAACCACTGACGGTGTTGATGATACTACAGCAGTCACAGCAATAGTATTTGCAGTACAGGAAGAAGTGGAACAGCTACTGCTGCTGCTGCTGGTAGTGACCAGAGAGGACTGAGATGCTGTTATAACCACTGGCTGCTTCTGAGTAGTTGAAGCAATGACTGATGTTGGGACAAGTTTCGTAACTGCTGCATAGTTGTGGGATTTTGAAAGGATGTTGGGTACAAAAGTTGAGCTTGGAGACGTGGTTACTATTATCACCTGGAAGAAGATAAAGAACAACAAGAAATTCATTTGTTCTTTGTGCTTATTTAGAAGCATAACATTTCAGTAATGTATCTGTCTATGTATATTTAGCTTTAGGGATGTAGGTTTATTAAGAACATTTCAGAGTGCCATCATCACACTTGCTGGCCAAAAAAATTCAATGCTTGATAAAGTGGTGATAAACGTTTCCTTAATGTTAGAAGGGTTTGGGTTTTTTTTAGGAAAACAATTACCATCTAATGAAAGAATTATCTCATGTCTGAAGACAGACAGGAATTAACTGCTTGGCTTCATTAAATTGGGACAGGAAGCCTGAAGCCCAGTTTAAAATGGAACAGAAGGGTTTTCCAGCAAGGTCTAAACACCATTCCCCCAAACCTTGCACACATCAAGAAACGGCAATGAGAGAACAGATGATATTTCTTTTTTCTTTAACAATTAACAAGCAGTTGCCCAATCAGTAATAGGAAATATTTCTGATCCACAAGGCTGTAAACAATCAATATTACATCAGTGAAAAAAACTGATTTAGATTTGAAGCAGTTTCTGTTTTAATTAGTACTCTCAATTCTTATCTGTCTGAAAATCATTTGTCTAAAGAGAACAAACATTACTCCTAGTGCAAGCAACAATTACAACACCATGAATCTGATCTGACATAGAAAAACACAATTTGCTGTAACAATGGAAGAGGTCTGTTCTTACACAACTGACCTAGAAAACTAAGCATTTCTTGAGCACTGAATATGTGGACTGTTTACGTAAAGAGATTCCTTTTATTCTGTTTATATGTACTTCCTTGTACTTTACAAACACATTTAAAACAGAAACACACAGCCTGGAAATAAAACATTTTCAGTTTACCATGCAAGAATATTAATAAAACGTATGAATAATGCAATTGTCCCAGTAAAAATTTCATTTATTAAACCCTTGAAAATTAAAACTTAATTAATGATTTGATGTGACAAAAGCAGATAGGAAAAAAAGGTACAGAATGAACAAAGAAAACCTGGCTTAGCTCAAACGAAAAGCCTTACACTACTACCCAAGGACTACTAGAACCTTGCCTGATAGAGAAAAGAAATAATGATAAAGGCACCAGAAAGAAGCTTAACAAAGATCAACAGCGAGAGATGAAGAGTTTATAATTTGTTTAAAAAAAAAAAAAAATAGGGATGAAAATAAAAGCAGCAAATTTCACCACCATAACTTGATCTGAGGAAAACCAAAATCTTACTGCTACCTACAGCAGGCTGACCACAACTGACCAATGCTTGAAGGTTTCCACATCTGCTGCTCTATCACTTTATTGAATTCTCCAGGAAGAATCTCTGTATCACTCCTGATTTTGCCTTCTGCCTAACCTTGATGTAATCAAAACACCTTCCTGAAACTGCTCTTAGGCTGTGACCATGCAGATGAGCTGAACATCACACAGCTTGATTCTGGTACATGGCATGAAGGTGCAAAGATGCTACAATGTGCCACTGGAGTTCTATCCTGCCTCTTAAATAGTCATTAACACCAGAAATACTTGCCAACCATTTGAATTTTAGGGCCAGCTCCATTTCACCTAGGATAACCTATTTCAGAATACAGTCAAAAGGCAATTTGCAGTTAAAAAAGGCAGATTATTCACACTAAAGTTCCTACATTATCTGCAGTGCTATGGGGCAAGTTTACTGCCTCAAGTAAGTCAGAGATATGAAGGATGAATTTGGGCATAATCACAACTCCTGAAGACCGCTC